TATTTATCCATTTCATTTTGTTTTGTTTTTGTTTCTAGGATGATTATGTACCATTTTTTTTAGTTTCTTTATATATTTACGCATTTTTTTCTCCATTCCTACTTTCCGCGTTAAAGTAAGTAGCTTTGTCTCTTGCGCGCGCAGGTAACTGCACCTGCCCAACAATTGTGGATAGTCTCCTCTCATAGGCTACCCCCAAATTTCTTCACCCAATTAGATGGGATGAAATAGCTCAAGCTTAGCTATGCTATATAGCGATAAAGGCTATACGCTTACTATGACGTATATATTGTATTTTCATATAATTTTAAATACATGCTTCATTTGTGTTTTTTTATATATTTTATTTTGATTCATTTTGCATGGTCTATAATTTAAATTGAAAACGTTTTTTTTTTAAATAAACAATTTATTACAAAATATATATTAAAAAAATAAATAAAGATTATGTAAACTAAAATATTAGGGGGGAAGGGTTTAAAAAAATATTTTTAAAAAATTGTCTGTCCACAGAACAGAGGATGGAGATAAAATTTGATCTACATATCTCTAGAGATATTTTGAGATATCCAGTGATTGTTAGTTTTTTTTACCTAAAGTTTTTAGTTTCATATGGTACGATTTACCAATGTGTCAAAAAAAAGTTATTATCATTACCAATTTATTTTCTTGTATTTAAAACAACTAATATCCCTTTTGATTCCTAGAGTCTATTTTTTTTTAAATTAAAAAGGTATTAATTTTTAATGTAGTGTATAAAAATTATATTATTTATATCTGAATATTAAAAAAGTTACGAGGGAATAATTGTTTGTCTTGCTTCTATGAAAGCTTATTCACTGCTATATTCTCCAATACAATTAACATGTATTTACGGGTAAAATAAAATTCAAATAAAATCTATTTTTTATTGCCCCATTCTTAATGCTATGTATATCCAATGATGTATATATACTACTAGATTAAGGATTAATTTATTAACAGTATCTTTACATAGCAGACAGCTGTAGCTGCATTTTGTGGTTTGCTCGCCTATTAATTGTCTTATTATCAACATATAAATGCACATTAATGTCCTTTAATCGACTAGCAAATCATGGCGCTACACCGGACTCTTATATATGGATAATTTTAAATTTAATTAATGAGTCACATCATTGAGTATGTCATACGTTTGATTGTAAACATAAATTAAAAAGAAATATTTGCATATATTTGAAAAGTATTTAAATATTTTATCTGATGTCAAGTCAGTCAGTGTTCTTAAAATTATAGTGAGGGTAGAAAGTGAGCAAATAAAAATAAAAAGAAAGAATAGGAATCCTACAAGTCTTCTATCATATAAATAAAACACCACTTTATATTTTCCAACATAAATCCGGGTCTGATATAAAATATTTAGCAAAATGTTATTATGCATTTCTTTTCAATATATTTTCATATGGATTACTCTGAAATACGGTTAGCCCGAATTCGGGTGAAGCATATAAAATCGTGGCAAAGTATAGAAAAATACAGCATATCTTATTTTCTTCGTCGCGAATTCGCACTTATTGTGAATGCAGGGTTAGGGTGTTTTTTTTCTTTCCTATTAAATAGCCCAAATTAATCATACTTTTAAAAAGATTGATTAAAGGCGCGATCTTTAAAAAATCTTTAAACCAGGAATATGTTATAAATTATAATATTGAATAATGAAACTTAAGCATTGATAATTTGGTTTTAAGGGCTTACAATTATTTTAACATTTATTCATTCATCATTATGCCATTGCATGAAAAAGCAATTTCACCGCACCCTAAGGAACTGACTTGCATGACGTATTTTCACTAATATAGTTCCAATACATTATATCCAACCCTTTTATTGCTAATATGCAATCAGCTAGCAAAGGTAGAAGGAATGAGTAGATATGGTAGTTATTTATTAGAACCGTTACCGGCAGAACAGTAAGTACTCGTTTGCATAAAATGGTATATAGTAATGTAATATTATTTTTAAAATTTGATCGATTTTTTCTTCACTATCTTTATTGTAGACAAATCCTGAAGTTTACTACTAAGGAAGGAATAAAATTTTTATTTTTAGTAGTGAAACCATATAAAGTTAATATGATATATAAACAAACAGAACTCGTCTGTTTTTTGAGTAAAATAAGCATGGATTATTAAAGTTAATATTAGGATTTACATTTTATGCATTATGAAATATTTCAACATCCTAACAATAAAAATCTGCCAACTATTTAATTTTTCTCTATAAAAATTTTGAATAGATTTGGAAGGATTCGGTGGCAAAATTATTTTAAGTGCAGCCTGATTAATCAAGAATCTTTCATTTATTTGAGTGATAAATGTATCTAAAAGAGAGGTAAAGATATTTAGAAGTTAAGTAGAATTTATTTTGGAACTTAGAACCATTGTCAAATAAAGAAAAGTTAATTAGACTGAATGTGTCCATAGAACATTGTTTCGGCCAACGAATATAGTGGTTGAGATAATTTAGAGAATAAAATAATAGTATAAATAAATTAACTACTAATACTTTATTAATTAATATAAATACTAATTACATAATCATAAATAAAATAAGAAATTAAAAAATATAAAAAAATTAAAATTAAATTAAAGATTAAAAAAATTAAGTTAGTAAAATCATAATTTAATCATCGTTTTTCGCATCATAATTTCTCCTTATATATCCTTTTTCTTTAATCAACATTTGCATAATCTCAATTTGAACCGAGATTTAATTCTTGTAGATTTGAATATCTTTGGGCTTCGTAATTTTATTTAAAAGTAATTTGCCTGTCTGGCGTTTTTCTTAATCTAGTAAATTTGCATGTTACCACAATTACAACAATTTATTTTATAGTATTCTTTGTCTGATCCCAGATTAATATTGATGATATTTGATTTATAAAATTCGTCATCTACATTTGTTCTGATTTACTTATGTTCCAATCTAAGACTTGCTTTCAGTAATGTTGTTAAACAGATTTGAACCGATTTTTAAAAATGACTAACTTAATATTTTATTTTAAAAATACCAAGCCGGAAATTAAAATTTGGTCATCTTTAGGGAAATCTCAAGGCTTATGCGATTTCTAACTAAATCGGCTCAAATTGAGCTATTACATTAGTTTTCAATTATTCTCATCGTCTAAATCATATCGATGTCATTTTTTAAAATATTTTACTTTAGTTTCCCAATTGAAAAGGTTATAAATGATATGGTGGGAATTTTAAAATGGTAGATAAAACCTGCAAAATTTGGAATCGATATTAATTCATAGAATAAATTAGTAACATATTTATTTCGTTGTGAATGTAAATATAAATAATTAATATTATGTGATAAGAGGTAGGACTCAGTAATCTTTTTTTTAAATATTTTAGCCGGCATCTACTATTTTGACTGGGGGAATGGGGGGGGGGTGGAATTGCTCCCCGCCTTCTGCTGCTTATCCGTCTATATAATATATAAAAAATTATATAACTATTTACATTTTAGGACTTATACATTACATACCTCATTATGGTCAAAATAAAAATTTCTATTTTTTTTATGATCAATTATCGATAATAGAGACCCCTGTATATTTTTTCAATTTATATGCATTATATAGTAAAGAGATAGGATGAATTTGAATTAAAAACTGTAACACCTTATATCAATTCTGTATATAATAAAAATTTCAGTATTTTATTAGTATTCTTTTAAATCATCACTTCAAGACCCTACTTTTATTTAGTTTACAGCTTGAATAAATTATAAAATTGAGAGTAACATTTAATTTGAAATTAACAATATATTTATTAGGGAATTAAGATGAATTACTTGGAAATCGCTATCTACAGTAAGCCATTCATATTTTCATGTTTATAGATAAATAAAATAATGAATGCAAATTTTGATTTCTTTTTTTCATCAAATTTGGTAAAATATGTTGGTCTTCCCTTTCGATAATAAATTTCTTATCAAAATTTCTCGATTCAAATTGGTATTTTTAATAAATTTTTAGCAACACAATTTAAATTAGACATTTAAAATTTTTTAATTAATTATTAGTTTTAAAATTTTTAAAGTAATAAAAATAATTTTTTTTATAGAAATAGTAAGGTATTCATTTTTATGTCGTAATATAGAAATAGTTATAAATATATTTAACAATTTTCTATAAAAAATTAAAATGGAGCCTAGCGGGAGGGTAGGAAAAGTTTGCATCCAATTTTTTTGAGGGGAATAAGGGGCAGGATTTAAAGATGGGCTAGGGGTAGGATAAATTTAATGGGGTGGGGGGGGGGGGGGTATCTATTAAATTTTTAGATGAAATTGGGCAAAATGTATTGCTGTTGAAATTAATACTTTTGTTATAGACCTATTATAATCTAACAATATTGCTAATCATCAGTCAAATCAATATATGGCGCATAATCATAGACATTATTTCCAAAATAAAACTATTTCTAGCATTTTTTGCTATTTGGTTAACAATTCTATTAGTAAACATATATTCATGCCAAACAATATTCTACAGTGTTGACCAGATTTATTGGATTTCCTTATTTTATAATATATTTGAAAATAAAATTATTTGGCCTGCTAAAAATTGTTAAAATAGCATATTTATATATTCTTATTAATTTTTACATGTTAAATAATTTTATTTACAAACAAATTTAAAAATATGGAAATGTTATAAAATAAATCTGCACAACACTAATTATAAATGAGGGAGTATTTAATTTAATTCATGTTATAATAAATAACTCTTTTATATTCACAATATTTTGAGAGTTGGCGGTACATAATCATTTAAGTTTTTTTTAAGTTATGAAGCGAGTACAATTATCATTAAAAGGTATATCAATAATGTGGGAATATCATGACCAAAAGCGGAGGAGGTAAGCATAGATTTTTGGAGGGCCTGTGTCTGTCAGGCATATAGTAATTTATCTATAATTAATGACTTAAATGTTGTATTTTATGTCATTCATTTGCTTCAATCACTTTTATTTATGTAACAGTTTATCAATTAGTAGCATATGATTAGATGATTCAGGAAAAAAACATCGGAACTTTAGCAGATGAGGCTCGCAAAAGAAAACAAAAACTGTTTGAATTAAAGAAGAAAAAGCAAGAGAATAATGAGAATTCAGAAAATTTAATAAAACACAAAAAGTAATTATATATTAGTTAATGATTTATCTATATTAAATTGTATTTTTATTATTCGTGAAATATTTATTCAATATTAGGCCAATATTTCGAAACTATGCTCCAACTGATACAGAATTACAATCTTCTATGCTTCCCAAAGTCAAACCCTCTGCTCGTAAAATTTTTACTCTCAAATTATTTCATCATGTTTCAACTGAGATAAATTTATTAGTTATATTAATATTTTTATTTGAAATATTAGAATTTAGATTCATGTTTACCTTTAATTAAATTTATTTTTTGATTATGAGATTTGTTGTTAGATGTTTTAAATTATAATAAACAGTAAATTTAATAAATAGCAATGGCATTTATAATATTTTTATCTTTACTCAAAAGTTGATGAAAAAATTGAAGAACAAATTTCTCTTACAACTCAACCTGAAGAAAAATTAACTAATAAAATTGAAATGGTAAATAATTGACTTGTATAAAATATTAAGGTAAATGATTTCTAATATAGTTAAGAATAAATCTGCTCTTTTATGTAATAATTATTAATATAATTAATATCACCATTTAATAGAGCATATAATAAATTGCTGGATGATAAAATTGCCCATTTATGATTTTTATTTGAGAAGATATTACATTAGCTTTCATATTATTGATTTTTAATGATATCTTAAAAATTCTATACAAAATTGTAAAATTTCACAGATAATATTGTTAAATATCTCAATTTTTTAAAATGGCTCATTCATTATTTTAGTAAGATAGTATAACCTATAGAATCCTTGAAAAATACCTTATGAATGTAATTAAAAAACTCATTTTCTTCAATTACTATATCTTCGTTGTCTAAAAAACTTATATTCACTTTTTTGCTTTATGTAATGTCATTTTTAAAATAAAAACAGTTTAAATGGATGATGTTAATTTTTTCAGTAACTCAGGTCACAAATTTAATATTAAACAAAAAAAAACTTGGTTTATAAAGATAAAAAAGTATTTATATATGCATTCTAAAAATTGTGATATCTTAATAAATACAAAATACTTGTTTTTAGTATTTAAAATGTAAATACTACTTCCTAAAATATTCAAATAAATACCAATTACAAATACAAAAGAGTATTTTATTTAGTATTTTAAATACAAGTATCAAAATTTTATTTACGGAGTTCCAATTTGGAAAGTGAATAATTTATTTGTGAATGACTTAATTATTAGGTGTTTAAAAACAAAGTTGCTGAATGTTTCTCTTTGTAGGCACACTTAGCAACATTCAGTAGCATTTTGATTTATGGTTGTGGGAAATGAATATACCTAAAACGAATTATTTGTTATTCATTCGATTCGTATTTTACGAATACGAATAACACAATTATTCGATTTGAAAGTACGATCGAATTCGAATAAGGAAAATATATTATTTGTCGAATAATTTTTTTTTCTATTATTCGATCGAATTATTCAAGATTATTCGACTAAAATAATTTATAGTATTATATTAATAAATGTTGAAAAATAATTTTATAAATATATGTATTAGATAATTAAGAATTACTTGAAATTATTCTTATTTAATAAAATTTCCTAGTGGAATATTGAAGAAGCATTTTATATTTTAAAAATTTTTAATAACTTCATAATCCAAAACAACTTCAAAAAATTCTTTTATGGACGAAGGTATTTATTTTATGGAATTAATAACACATACACAATTATAATGAACTAGTAGCTAGCCCGTCAAGAATGACGGGCGATGCAGATATTTCTCCTTTGTTTGATGATGGAGAAATCATAAATTTTACTTTTTGCCTAAATTTTTACCACTTTATTTGTAAAATATTGCTAGATGTGAGTATTGTATTTTTAGATTGCATAGCTTTTTGACAATCTATTATTCCCTACAATTATTTGTACTCATATACAAGGTACTAATAATATATTAACTTTTTTAAAATAATGTTGGGGTAATTTATAAATTTGAACAGTTTTTATATTAAAACCTATAAATCCAAATTATTTTTGTAAAAAATATTTTATAAGTAAATGTGTATAAAATTTAATATACGTACATGTAATAGTATTTTTTAAACTTATATTAAAATTCACTAAATATGTATTATCATTTTGTGATAAATTTTTTAAAAGCTATCATCTCATCTACATTTGGTGAGTATAAACTCCTAAATATAGCTATTGTTTTTGAAGAATTGGTTGTTGTCAGATATGTCATATACATGATATAAATATTATATTTATTTTTCTACATTATATATAAATATATTATATATGTATGCTTCTATTTTATCTTACTAATAAAATTTGTTTGTCTTTTATCCATAGTTAAATTTTACAAAATAAATTTTATAATCGATCTTTTTTAATTTATTGTTAAATAAAATTTTCGAATAAATCGAATAAGCATTTTATTATTCGTACGAATACGAATAATTCTATTATTCAATTAGAATCGAACTCGAATAATGCAATTATTCGATTCGTATTTTTATAGGTATAGAAATGAATATCTAAATATTTTTTTTTGAGTTTTAAAGAATATTTTACACTATTTAAATTTGTTACAATGAAGTTACATGATTCCAAATTGATCTTAATTATGACCATAATATTATTCAAAATTTGATTGTTAACTAAATGCCTCTTGTGAGCAATTTTTTCTTATTATAAATGGAATCTATAATTTTTTTCTCAGCTTCAGCCTTAAAAAATTATTAAAAAAATAACATTATTTTCATAGAATAAAGATAGGAAATTTGAGTAAAATTTACTGGTTTATATGTATTTCCATTCTGATTTCATGAAAAGAAAGAAAGAGATATTAAAAAATTTTAAAATTGGTTTTAAAGCTTTTACTCAAAATTTCTTATTTTATATTTAGGAAATTTTATATAATATTATCATTTGAATTATCTTTCAATATTTTTCATCATATTTTTGAAGTATAGGATTTTTTTTATAAATTTCATTTACATAATCAGGAAAAAAAATGGCTTAAAATGACATTTGTGGAATCGTTAACAATCATTGTTGTTCATAATCAAGATATCTTGGAGTTGATTCTAATACAAAAGATTTTACGATTCTCACAGATATTTGTTCTTTTCGATAGATTTAACAATTAATTAGTTAAAAATCTCATTGTATTTTGAATATAGTTATATCTTCAAAAATGTTGATAATGAATGAATTTCATATTAGGACGCAGCCATAAGCACGAAGTTAGTCAAACTTTTGAAAGCACTAACTTTAAGACATAGGGCCAATAATATGTAATACTTTAATGGAATTTTGTTTTCCTCTCGCAAATTTTAAAACTTAGGTCATGACATGACATCCATTTGGAGATTATCATTACACTTATCAATTCTATTTTACTATATCCCCTATTCTTTTGATTTTCTCATTCTTGTTTTAAAAAAAATTTAGTCTAGTATTCTACTTATACACATCAAGCTATGAGTTATTTATAAAAAGCGATTTTTTATGATATTTTTGGTCGAACCTTTCTCCCCGTTTACTCTTTTTAAGTGATGTTAAATCACCTGACTTTCTCGGACTCCAGAAGGGCCTCGCCAAGTTTTTATCCTGAAAAAAAATACTTATATTAGGGCATATCTCCAACCCTTTAGGGTTAGGGTCTTAGTTCTAAGAGTAGATAGCTGTTTTAGTAAATTCTAATGCACTTACCTCCTTGTTTACCTTGGTTCAATTATTTTGAGTTAGATTTTAGGATTTATTATTTTTTGGACCATCTTATACGCGTGTTAGATTGTTGGGTATACCTTCATTTTACTTTTTAAAATGACGGAACGCCTGTTTGCAGAAAATATTATGTTAAATAAGATTAAATAAAAACATTTAAAATTTATATCCCTTATTTTTAAATAGATTTTTATTAACCATAAAATTTAAACAGTTGATTTATATTATGGTATAAAAAATCGAATTATTACGTTACATAATATAATTAGCTTATATATTATAAAAAAAAATCATTTTTAAATAAGCGACGATGTGTTGTATTTTCAACTTTAAATCATTTTTTAAACGCGTTTTTTTCAAATTTATAAATCTAGCATGTCTAGAAATAACTACCCTATGAATTTCAGACATTTGTGTTAAATTAGTTTTAAAGTTCAAAAATTTATGAATAAGAGTCGGTTTTCTAGACATGCTAGAATATAATTTCTGTAAAATCATTTTTTTAAATATAATTTAAAAATAAACGAACTTAAAAAATGATTTAAGTTGAAAAATAACACATTAAAACACCTTATAATAGGATCACGACTCGCGACATGTAACAACTGTTAGATTAAAACAAGAAGGTATCTAGGTTCAGATTTATATTTAATTATAATCCGGACCTTAAGCCTAACCCGGGTTCAGGTAGAGCTTTCAACCTTGAACCAAACCTACCTCTTGTTTTTTGCCTTGAACCGTAACTGATCTAAAAATTTTAGCGGGTTCGCAAGCCTGAATTTATACTTTTTAATAAAATTCTACTCCCTTTTACTAGTGAAGGTCACGGTCCGGTCTTTGTAAAAAAAGATCGATCCAGACCGTGGTCCTAAATAAAAAGACCGGTCCAGGACCGGTCTTTTTATTTGTTTAAAAAACTTTTTTTTTAACCTAATTTAATTTGTTTTATCATTTTATTAAATATAAGAGTATTATATAAACAATATAAAATTAATTATGAATAATATAATAATTAATACAAATATTTAATTTAAATAAATGCTAATGTCTTTGTTTGTAGAACTTCCTTGGAAGGAATTAGAAGAGGGACTTAATGGAGGCGGTAGATCTATTCCATTCTTTAACCAAGAGCTCATACACATCAAAGCTTGTATTGTTTGTTTGAAAGCCTATTCCTTTTTTTTAGTGACAAGATCTCCTGCTTTCGAAAATATTTGTTCATAGGGGACAGATGTTGCTTGAATTGCTAAAAAATTTCTAGCTGCTAATGAGAAGACTGGAAATCTATATAATAAACTATATTGACTATTTAAAAAATATAAAAGACCTTTCACTATTGGCTTTCCACCATACTAATATGTCATCCTTTAATGAAACAAGAGGTTCATTCAAATAGGTGAGAAGTTCTGATATATTTTCTTCAATGATTTCTGACGATATATAATCCCCTTCTGAATTTCTTTTTTGGGATAAAATTCTTTCTAAAAACTAAATTCATTGATTTCCTCTTGGCACAAATGTTTGAAAATTAGGATTTAATAAATAAATATTAAAAATATACCTGAGAATCCGTTATTCCTGTATTTTTTTTATTTTCTATTTTCCTTAAATATTTTGAAAATTTGGTCATATACTCAATTCTATTAAGAGTATTAGGCATGTAAACTTGTTTTAATCTCGGATCCAATAATGTTGAGACATATGATTCATAGCAAAATAATTCTTTGAGATATTTCTGCATTTTAACCAGCATGTTATTAAGAATTTCTTTTCTTGTATTGTTATTATCCTTTTTTATATTATTTAAAATTTCATTATTTATATTCTCCATATATAACATGGAAATCCCAACTGTAGGATATTTGGATCCTGATAAATCAAGTGTGGTTTATAGAAGGGCCTTAGAAAATCTACAGCCTCTTTAAGGTCTTCTTTTTCACACTCAGTAAAGAAAACCCCTTTAAGTTGTTTGTAATTCAAAAAAGTACTTCTTCTATAGCATCCATGTTCTAAAAATTAAATATTTTTTAAAAATAATTGGATAAAAATGTAAATACCTCATAAATTGTATTCATCATTAAATAGGAGCTATTCCATCTAATAGGGATAACCCTTGTTTTCACATATTTGTACATATGCTTGATTTATTTTGGGTGATTTATTTATAGAAAAGGCTATGTCTCTACACTTTTCTAGTATAGTTGTAAAATATGATAAACCTTCCTGACATATTAGGTTTAGAATATGGGCACAGCATCTAAAGCCTTTAAATTTTTGTTCCTTATAAATATTCTGCAAAATATCCATGCTTTTTAGGATGTTATTGGCATTATCTGTAGTACAGGCCAGTATATTCTCCTCCAATTGATATACATCAATTCTTCTTTTATAGCTAAGGATATTTCTTCAGAAGTATGAGGAAATGGGATATGATTTATATCAAGTAAAATATTTTTTAATGTAAAAGAAGAATCAATATAATGTGCAGTAATGGCTATAAATGAAATTTTATTTATATTGCTCCACATATCTGTGGTAAAGCTTATTAAAGAATTATTTTTATTTAAAATATCTTTTAGAGAATTTCTTAGTTTCTCAAAATTAGCTGTATAAAAATTTTTAACTTTGTTTTTTGACCAAATTGTAGCAGTTGAGTTTAAATATTTGATTAAATTATGAAGATCTGAACTTTCAAAAGTCTTCATTGGCAGAGAGTCCATTATTACCCATTTTATAATGAGTTGGCTCATATGATCTGTTTGGAATTTATCCAATGGTATTGAAGAAAGTGATTTTGTACTTGTGGAGGGCATATTTAAATTAAGAGTAGATTGTGTTTTTGAGATATTTTCATTTTCATTATTAGAAGTATAAATTTTATGTTTTATCAAATGTCTGCTTAAGGTAACTAATTATTTTATTAAGAATAAGGTTAAATTATTTTGACAATGAATTATTCAGACAGTTTCTTAAGAAAAAATAGATATATAAATAAAAACCAAAATATTTTAATAATAATACTGCTTATTTTGATTAATTTATTGCTTAAAAAATTATAAACAATTATTTTGTTACTTGTTGCTGACGATATGTTAAATTTGGTATTACAGTGAACACATATTCTATGTTTTTTATTAGGACTATAAGTAAAATGTTTCTTGGACAAACTTATGGTTTTCATATTGTAAAAAAAAAATTAACAAAATCTAAAATAACACCTCTAGAAAAATATCATAAAATAAAATATACAAAAAAATTATATTAATTGAATAGTAACCTAAACTTAAATATTAATAAAAGACCGGTCCGGACCGCGGTTCGGACCGTAAAAAATAAAAAAACCTGAACGGACCACGGTCCTCAACAAAAAGATCGGTCCGGTCCCGGTCTAAGACCGATAGGACCGGACCGTTGACCTTCACTACCTTTTACTGAGATAGTGAGGGGGATGAAAGAACTGTACTTTTTTTTACTAGCTTAGAATAATATTTACGAAGACTTGCAAATTTGCTAAGGAAGCTTTCTCCCCCCACCCCTTCCCCTTAGTGAATTGGGGCTATCGGATAACCTCTATTTTGCAAATATTTCTTAAATAATAAAAAAAATATTAACTTGTGCATTTGATTTTAATTTTTTTTAAATTGTAAGGTATTATTTTTGGTCGGTTAATAAAGCTGTATTATTAATTTTTTTTTCTACTAATGACAATATTAGAATTTATCAACTTTGGCTCCTAGGAAAATTGATTGGGATCTTAAGAGAGATATATCCAAAAAATTGGAGAAGCTGGAACGAAAAACCCAACAGGCTATATCCGAACTTATTAGTTTGATATTATAATTAATTTTTCCTTTTAAAAAATATTAATTTAAATTTTTTTAAAAATTTTTTTATAGGAGAACAAATAATGCAAACCAAGGATCTCTCCTCTATGCCCGATATGGATACTACGTGAGACATAATGAAGGACCAAATTTTTTTTTAGATAAACATTTTTATCTATTTTATTTGAAAGCAACACTTTATATTATAATGTAAAAAAAAATAATAATTTTGAAATGTCCTATTTTAATGATAATTATTATTTAATTAAAATGCATAACAGATACAAGTGTTATTGTTAAATTAATTAAAAAAGAATGTTAAGTAGATTATAGAGAAACATAATCTACATTATCAGAGTTATTAAAGTATCACGACGATAATGAACGATAGTATTATCATTGGTATGATATCTTTTTAAATTTATAATAGTTATTTCTCTATTTTTCAATAAAATATATTCACATAATATTAAAATTGTGTATTTGATTTAAAATAATTATCCCAAATTATTTATAGTTTTATTTTTTTTAATATATAAATTTAGAAATATTTTTATAAATTATTTATATTTTCACATAATACATCACAACTTATTAGTATAAATATTAAGTATTAAAAGTTGTTTATTATAAAGTTAAATTAATTAATCCTAGTTATTTAACCTGTTTTATCTTAATAAATATTAAATTACAAATTATTTGATGAAAAAAATTTAGATAGCATAAAGAGTAAAAAATTTGCCATTTTTAATAATTTTCAATATTTTATTTATTATTAAATATACTTACCATTCCTTCCAGCTCAACAGTTTAGTGCCTTTAAATATGTTTTTACAGGAGAAAAGATATCTCCTTAATAAAAACTTTGAAAATGTTTTATAACAATAATATTTAGTGATGATGTTAATTTGTTAATATTTTATATAAAATATCTATTACTATTAATGTATTTGTTCATTATTAATAAATTATTTTTAAAAATGTCGAATAGTATAGATGATTTTATGTACTATTTCCGACACATTTGAGGGAAAAGCATTTGTATCAACTGACTTGTTTATAATTTAAATTCATTTTAATACTTTGTAAAAGTATCGTTAACACGTCTGTATATTATATTTTAATACTATAACTAATTTTATAGTTGGTATTCGATATTTTATTAAAGATAAGGGAAAAAGAATTGGGAAATATTGCGAATTTTTCTAGTCAACATTATATTATATAATGGGAGCGTCATACGAGATGTAATAAATATTTAAGGGATGTTGAATTTTACATTTAAAACACATTGTTTGGGTCGACTTCTAAAAATATAAATAAACTTTAATAACTCCATAGGTTTCAATTATATTTATTTTCCAGATTTTTTAGTTTAATATTTTATGTTAAAAAGTAGAATAATTCCTGATATATATAATATTCCCACCATTACAGTTCCGATTTTGAACTAGGATCCACTCAATATTTTTTGTTAATATATATTTCGACTTGTACTAAAAAACCAAATTGGCAGCGGTATCTTTTTTCTAAACAATTGGCTGGTAGCGATACACCAAATTCTTCTTGGCTAAAAACAATTTTTTATAGTATTTGTCAGTTTATATGTAAATTACAAATCATAATTATTATAACATAGCAATTTTATCAGTTTAAAATAATTTGGAGGGCGTGAGTATAATAAATATCTTCTAGAGATCAAAATGAGCCAACCAAGCTATATAAAAATATATTTGCTGAGTGTGCTTGTGTTTGGAACATAGAATTTTCTAGCTAGAAATGAAATTTTGCACTCTTGTTCTAAAAATATTCAAATTTCTATGTTGCTTTGAGTTTGAGGTTGGGGTAATCAAATATGATTTTTGGGCTGGATTGCCTATTGGTATTGGGGGGGGGGAGTACGATGTAAGATCCGCATTCGAATTAGAAGGGGATAGATAGTTGTGGAGATCAGTGGCCTGCAAATGAATTTTTAGGCCCGGCCCTGAGGGAATTTAGAAAATGCCTGACTGCTTAGTTTCAATTTTACTAAAGTTGACAAGGCCCTTTTTTTAAATACAAGGCCTAAACCAAAATATATATTGTTGAACACCAAACAACTATTTATAATCTTGGGAATTAAAAACACTACTTTATGAATTAACACGACATGTAATATCAGAATACATTAAATATATATACAAATAAAAAAAAATTCAGACATTACTTGGGCTAGACATTGCAGATCTCTGGAGATATCTTCATTAGTAGGGGTAGTTTTGATTTCCTTTCATATTTTGCCAGTTTTGGTTTGAATTTTATTTGGTAGGAATTACATACAAATCGTTATTGGCCTAGGAGGGTATTAAAGTTCCTGCGAAATAATTTTTTCAAAAGTTTACAAATTTTTTAATTAATTAAATTTATGTCTTACCTTCATAAAAAATTATTAAGGGTGAACAACTTTTGTAAATTTATTTTACGGGCTGGACTAATTTATTTTTGGAAAATTTTTTATGAGCGAGTGTGGCCAGACCAGGTTGCTATACTGAATATTGCAGATAAAATGGTTAGTAGTGAAATTCTTTAAAATATCTCATTCTAAAATATTCACAGTAACTCTGCTATGTTGTACATAACGTTAAGTTACAAAGAGATAGTTTGTTTGCATGTAAATAAACTGACTGTCAATATTATCATACATTACCGGAAAATCATTCTAGCAATGGGTATGGTATGGTATAGACACAAACATCTAAAATATAAATTTTAATTATAAAAATAAGCTATTAATAGGACTCAACCCAAGATGTCTTCTATACAAGCAATAAGTCATAATATTTTTCCACCTAGAAAAATTATAGCTCACATTGTATAAAAAATGACTTATTTAAATTATATGGTGATATAATTGTGTTTGCACTTGGATAAATAGTATGATAATATAAAAAAAATTGTGTTTGTACCTGAAGGCGCATAAAACAATTTTATATATCGAAATGTATATAATTAAATATGTACTTTAAAAAAATAAAATTTTATGTAAAAAAAAATTATAAAAAATTGCCGTGACCAGGATTCGAACCTGGGTTAATGCGGCCACAACGCAATGTACTAACCACTATACGATCACGGCACATATAAAAATTAACAGAATTATTGTTTATATACAAAATAAATAATTAGTAACAAACATTTATGTAAAAAAATATTATAATATACAAATTACTTTGAATTACTTGTATCTGGCATAAATTTCATGTAAATAATTATTTTTTATATATAGCAATTTATATTAAAAATATGAGATTTATTAATTCGCTTATTAACAATTATTAATAGTTTGTATTAATCATAAATAAATTTTAATTAATCCCAAAATATATGCGGCATTAATATTTGAGAAGTCAACTTGAATCCAAAATATTATAAATTTTAAGGTGTTCAATTAAAATCTGCCATACGAACCCAATTTTAACAATATATTAAGAAGTAAAAAAATAGTAATCACTACATTTAAGAGTGAGAATGATTGTTTTTATTATTCCTAAGATGAGGCAATTGTAGTTTGAAGCGAGATATGTATTCTGTTACACAAAGCAAATGAAAAAACCTTGACATAAAAAAAGTCTATATATTAATAGATTTATTTATTTAACATTAATAAATTCCAAACTTATACTTTTATCTATTTTCATATTTATATAGTCAATCTATCTAAATCACAAATAATTCAACCAATTTCACCAAAATAGGCTTGCGCTCACTCAATGGTTAAAGGACACCTTATTTCTTCTAACATTAATTAACGATATATAGAATTAAATATATGGATTGGCAAATATCGTGGAAAGATTTTTATCAAGCTTTTCGAAAAGATCTTATAGCTTGTATCCAAGATGCAAATCTTTATCTTAAACAACTTTGTACAAATGATATTGATACGTTAAAAATAATTTATATTGGTTAATTTAAATTGTATTTAAATATTATTTTAAAATTTAATCCGAGTTAAGATATTTAAGATAGGAATGGTATATGATGTTGGTCATATAGCAATTTGCTAAATTAAAATCACCATACTACACCCATGATTCTCAAAATAAAATTAGGAACTAAGTAATCGGAAAGTTAAAACAATGATGCTACACATGGATAATAAAATTGCAAATTAAACATATTAAATAAAAAAAAATTTAAAGTCAACCAACATGAACATATCAATATAATAATTATTGCAGTGTAAAGAATGCCATAATTATAAGTGGCTGTGCAAACCCGTTAACTAATTTATCAAACATCTAAAAGTAATTTTTTTAAATATCACATTTATATTGATATTCATTTCATATTCAATATCATTCGTTTGCTAAATATAAAATTTTTAAAATATATTTAAAGTATTAAGTGCTGATGAAATGATTATAAAAAATCATCTAGAATTGACAAGAAATATTGATAAATATATTTAAAATAAAAGAATAATAAAAAAATCTCTATTCTAAAATATTTTATTTATGTTTTACTGAATGTAAAAATTACATGAATCATCATAAAGTATTACATAAAATGAAATGGCAGAAAAATTAACTCAATAAACCCTAGTTTCAGAGTTGTTAACGCTCCTTTTTAAAAGTAGCTAGCTCTCGCTCCCGCTCCTACCTTCTCAAAAGGAGCTAGCTCCCACTACTTCATTTTTAAAAGGAGCTAGCTCCCGCTACAAGTAATGGAGCGCCACTCCATAACCACTCCTTAGATTTTTATTTTTTTAGAAGGTACGAGAAACAAAATCATATTTTTTATCAAAAGCTTTTATTTATATTAAATGATCTATCAAAATATTTATAATCTTTTATTAGCCTTTAAAAATAATAAATTTTCTAAATTAGAATCTAAAAAAAATCCATGCTTCTCCCCTATGACCTGTTTTGCAAGACTAAATAAAGCGCTCCACAGGAACACTAGAGGGGAGCGGGGTATTGTATTTTATAAAGATATTTTTTAGGTATAAAAAAAGAGGTTAAACAAGTAATGAGAAAATATAAATAAATATTAAAATATATTTTAAAAAGCATAATATCTAACAACGGCTCAACTATAATGAATTGCCCAAAAATAATTATAACCATTTTAAAATAAATTATTCCAAAATAAAAAAATCTAGTTATCATTTTGTATTTAAAAGAAAGATTTTTTTACTTTTAAATGCTTTTTTAGATTGATGCTGCTCGCTTTGAAAATGAAGCACTTTTACTTAACCACAAAAGGCATTTTGCCCTTAAATTTGTTTGATCATTTGGATCAACATCTTTTAGAAGTTTAAAATATTTTTTGTATGATGTAAATGGAAATTCAATTTCTTCTTCTATAATCTCTCCATAATATCTAAAACTATTTTTTATTATATATCTATAAAATGAATATTAATATGATTTACAAGATTTTCCAAAAAAATTTCAATTATAACAATGAAAAACTTGATGTATAGTATTTAAAATGATTAGATGAAAAACCAATATAAAACTCGGCTCAACATTTATTAATGTATAAATTTAAATAAAATAAAATTTCATTTTTATTGAATTTTATTTTACAAACATTATTAATATTAAAAAAATAATTTAATTTATACCTTAAATTTAAAGGAGCGGCGCTTCTCCACTCCAGCCCTAAAAGGAGATAGCTCCCGCTCCTAATTTTTAAATTTGAAAAAATGTAGCGGCGCTCCAGGAGCGCCGCTCCGCTCCTTAACAACTCTGCCTAGTTTTTAAATAATAAAAAGAAAACAATATCTCTGGAAAAAATTAAATTTCCATTGACTTCGTTTGTTGTTAAAGGGATGTATATATTATTCTAAGTTGAATACTGATACATTTCGATTTTGATTATTTAAGCTTTTAAAAAAAGGTATCTTGTATCTTAAATACAAAATTTTAAAAATTAGTATCCGGATACAATTTTCTGGAAATTTCTCCAACCCTGACTCCACAACATGTTTACAAATTCCTACAGGCTTTTGCCCAAAATTCCAAAAAAACTCTTAAAATAATTAATCTACATTACATCACATATTGTTTAACCAACAAGTACATCGCATATAGGTGTTACAATCATTGGTTTAAGAATCTCATAAGTCGTAAATCAATCCTCTATCAAATAATGTAATATGAATTCCACCCCTAACTAACTATCAATACAAATATCTCCACTCATGATAGGTTTGTAATCTGTCAAATCGATCTAGTTTCTCATATATCTAAGCACAAAATTTAAGAAACAAGATTTCATCTCATAAGTCTCAAATGTGTTTTATTTTGATCTAAATACAACAAAACTTTATTCTTTTAAGATTGTGCCCAACATAATGTTAAAGTGTTAAAAATTTTAAGTTTCCGAATTAAATTTATTGATGTTTTGGACACATGTTAAAGAAATATGTAATCCATAAATAAATGAAGTTTCTATTCTAAGGAGTTTCAGCCTTCCCTTAAAAATTATATAATTGTGCATTCATAATAGTCAATTTTTTTAAATTAAATATGTTTTATTAAATGTAGGACCCGACTTTCCAAGTGCGAGGGATTGCTTTACATAATTTAGAAATAATTATTAATGGAAAAAGGTATAAAGATATTTAAAAATTTAAAAAATAATTTTTATTAAATCAATAAAGATCATAAAATTGAATATATTGATATATATAGGATTTCAAAGGCACCGTGGTGATGAGCAAATATAAAAATGCCTAAATATAAAATCTTATAAAATTATTATCTACAATAAATAAAATATAATTTTGTATAATATTTTAATAAATTATTAAACTATAAAATTAAAAAAAAAATTTAAAATTAATTGTTGTTGCACTCATTTATATAAGAAGGTTAAAATTTAATTGTTAAAGATAATATAATTTTTTATAATTACATTTATCTGAGTATTATAATTTAAGCATTAACAATTATTTTTTATAAATTAATTTGAATGATTTATACACATAATTTCATCCTATTCATGTTAAATTATCATTCGTGAGGCTCAGGTTAGATAGGCTCTTTAAAAGCACGTTTTGGGAAACGAAATTTTTGAGTTTATATTTGATTTGTTTTTTCAAATGCGATATTCCTCCATTCATTTGACGGTCACTTCGAATTTTATTGTCATTACATTTTACAGCTTCATTTGTTTTTATGCTATAATCATGATTCGAAACGCCTTGAGTGTTGGATATATTATAGTTATCGTCCTTGATTTTGTAAGGATGTGGATGTCCTATTGATTTTTGGCGAGTCAACGAATGTTTAAAACTATTTCGGCGCATCTTATTATTGTTTAGAGATTCGGTGGAAGAAATAGACGAACTTTTCGAAAACTTCCGCGTGTTTTTAATCTATTATTTAAAAATAAAATAGCAGGTTTTTTAATATTTAAAATTACAATAACAATTATATAAAATTGAGTTCTTAGATCATGACCTAAATTAGTTGGGCAATGACCACATGCGACTACAGGAGAAAATCTATTTATTACACTAAGGCGTTTTATTTTTGGCGTTTAAAATTACAATAACAATTATATAAAATTGAGTTCTTAGATCATAATCTAAATTAGTTGGGTAATGACCACATGCGACTACAGGCGAAAATCTATTTATTATACTAAGGCGTATTAGTTTCTTTCAAATTTGAGCTGCTATGTTTTTAAGAAAAACTCTAGCCAGCTAAAAATTGGCTAAAGAAAAATATAGTAATTACACAACTATGCCTAAAACGAAATAATTCGATTCGAAAGAATAAGGAAAATATATAATCTGCAGAAGAATTTTTTTTTTATCTATTATTCGTATAATTCAAAATTATCAATTTGTAAATATCGGAAATTATTCTTAAATATTCAAAATTATTTGCAAATATTCGAAATTATTCGTAATTTTTCTTATGTATTTAACATTCTTGTGAAATTTTTTTTTTTAACTTCTATTTTCAACAGCTAGAAATCACTTTTTTTTAAATTTTAATTTTGAAACGAATATTTGAACAACAAATCGAGTAATGTTTTTATTATTCGTGCGAATATGAATACAATTATTTGATTCGAAAATACAAACCGAATATAAATAATGCAAATATTAGATTTAGTGTTTATCAAAAACTAATATTAGTACTTTGCTATTAAAACAATAAGAGCAATTTTTATTTATTTTTTTCTTAAAATGAAGAATGATTTATTTCGTTAAATTAAATACTTAGGGATCTCTGCAAAATCGAAAATTATTTTTTATTTGTGGTAAGGTCATAATTTTTTTTTTCTAGTGGATTGATCGGGTTTAAAAATATTTTTGCTACAATCAGTTATATCAATAAATCATGCTTTGATTCAGTGAGTGGAAATATAATCAATTTGATTTAAAGAATATTATCAAAAATTATCGCATAATCACGTGACATTTTACTACAAATAACGTTTAAATATCACTTAAACTTAATTATAGCCATTTTATAAGTAAAATTATTGGTCTTTTTCTATTGCCAAAAATTATAAATAATATTAAATATTTTATCAATTTATAAAAAGTATTTTTTTTCATTAAATGTAAATTTTAATAATAACAAAATATGTAAGGTATTATCATTTTAAAATATTTTAAATGTTGGATCACCCTTGATTAAAAAAAAATAAATAATACGAAATTATTAAAATTAACAAGTATTTCTGGTCTAAGCAAATAACCTGTTTCCCAAATTTAATGGACCAGTCTAAAAACATTCTTTCTTTTGAAGATAAAGAATCTGTTACACCAAAAGGTTAACTAAAGGCGAAAGATGATTTCTTTCTTATTATCAACAAAAATTCTATTTTAGAATCTCCACCACTTAAGATTCGTATGGAAAGGTGAAAACATTATTTTATTTAACATTTCTAATTTGTTTCGTTATCTTTATTAAAAAAAAGAAATCAGTCTTTGTTTGACACAATCTGTTATGTTCGATAATTATTATTTTTTGCAATACATCCAAGGATTTTGTGATTAAAATTAGTATATAGATCTTTTGAGGCTGATTTAGCTATTTGGTAAATTTTTTTGTCAATATTTTTCCAGTTTTCTACAGGGTAGGTAATACGGAATCAATTTTATGTTCGAGTCAAATCAAGTCGGGTTTTTTAAAAAATCAGGTTGGGTCCGGAAAATGTTTTTCCCTCTAAGGGTCGAGTCGAATAGGGTGGAAAAAATTCGTTTTTTGCAGGTCTCTGTCTTTTTAATAAATGTAGCTTATTTAACACTTAAATTTTATTCACATCGATTATGACACTATCTTTATACACAAAAAAAATTGAAAGATGGCAATGATCGCTATGTATGTAATTTCTTTTACCTTATATTGATGTTTAATCATCGATTGGTCGTCCATGTTAAAGTAAAATGGAACCCGCCGCGATTCTAAGTCCCTTTGATCGTATTCACTTTGAAAATCGGGTCGACATTGGTCTGTGTCAAAATTATGTGGCACGTGATGTTTTTTGACAATATCCATTTCCATCGAATTTGTCGGATGATTTAATTGTAAATCGTAATTGGAATCATCAAAGCCTTTTTTATAGTTGGTTCATCCGAAAATTAGGGAATTAAAAAGATTTAAACATATGAATTTAGCGGGCTAAAAACTCTCATTCAATTATAAAAATGACTCCAAAAATTTGCTTGTTCTCATAAATATCATTTTAAGCTAATATAAATTTCCCGCTACAACCTCCCCCTCTTCTCCAAAAATGTATACAATATCAATATAAACAAGGATCTGAAAAAAAAATTAATGTTAATTATTATTTTTAAAATAACGACTATAATTCAATTTTTTTATAAAAAAACACAAAAATTATTTTTATAGAAATTATCCAGGGCATATCCAAGATTTTCCGATAGATGGGGTGGGGGGATGATAAAAATTTTTTTGGGGGACTTTGCTCCCCAAATCTCTTATTACCTGGCATTCGGCAGGGTCCCTCCTATATAAAAATTCTTATATATTATTGATTTTTAGGTGGTCTTCATATAATCAGAGTTAGGTTCGCTGAATAAGCCCTAATTCTAAAATATGACAATGTTTTGTGCTTAATCAGTATCTACTTTAACCAGTGTAATAGCCAGTATAAAGGAAAAAATTATTGATAGTAAGATTTTGGTCAACATAAAGATTAAAAAGTGTCTGAAGGCATTTATTCTGTAAATTTTATCAATGCTTAGAGCTTTGTTATTTTTTCTTTTCAGTTTGTTAAATAAATTACGAAGTAAAAATCTCATTAAACAAGATAGAACGAAAATTCTTGAAGCATAAAAGCAATTAAAAAATTTAAATAAACGAAATATCGAAAATAAGTTTTCTTATTATCATTATAAAAAATTCTATTATCTTTTAAAATATGAGACTTGATGTGATGTAGCTTTGATACTTTAACATTTAATAGCGGCATAAAAAAAGGTAGTCAAATTAAATTGTGGCATATCTGTGCTTAACATTTGATGAAATAGGAATAAATTAATAATTGTTTCATCATAATGAAATTGACAAAGTAGATTTTTTTAAAAAAGGAAATGACAAATTGGACAAGTTTTTTACAAAATAATTTTAAAAATATATAAATAATCAAATATTGTAGATCAAATTATTTATAAATAAAAAACATAAAAATAGTTGTTTTTATATTTTAGGCATTTATATTCAATTTGGTAAATTAAAATTTTTTCATTTTTTCATGAGGGGGGGGGGGTTGAACCCTTAAACCCCCGTGCCTACGTCACTGAATATAGTCAAGGGTCTTACCTAAAGACCTACTATAAAATTTATGGAGAAACCTCCAACACCCCTCCTCTCCTTGACAAAATCCTGGCTACGCCTATGCATGAAAAAAATAATTAATTGTAGTTTTAGAATAGATATATTGGATAATTATGAAAATTTTTATTACCTTTAAATTTTTTGCTCTTTAGAATTTCTAACCCATGGATAGTCTTGATATGTTTCCTCAAAGAACTAGGATCTGTGTACCGTTTATCGCAACCTTGGATTTGACAAGCATAGGGTTTCTTCAATGAAAAGCAAATAATAATGAGTGCTCATAAAATAAAAATATAAATTAACAATCTGCAAAGCCCGGCCCGGTCGAAAGCTTTGCCCGCGAGCCCGGCAGAGAAATTAGTGCATAAAAAATTTTCGAGGGCCAGATAATTTATATGTAAATATCAGGTAGGCCTCGAAAAATCTCTGATTTTTGGTAAAAATTTTAAATAGATTTTAATATTATTTTTTTTAATTTCAAGCTAATATTTTGATTACTATTAATTAAAATAGAAAATTCATTAAAAAATTAAACAATTTATTTATGATATGATTACAAAGCACAATATTTGGGATCAACTTTTCGTAAAAACTTTAACGGACCTTAAAGTTTTTACGGGTCGAACCGGGCCAGACAACTTGCTCGAAAATATTTAACGAACCAAAGCGGGCCGGGCTTTGCAGACCTCGAATATAAACTAGCTAATCCTTAGAATAACGAATAAGATAAGGTTAGTTTACGCGTTATTCGTATAAAGGTAAGGTATTAGTTTTCTTTTCATACATCACCAATAAAAAATAACTATTGTTTTGTGGAAATTTTAAATATTGGCTTGTTTAAATTGTCTTTAAACACTTTTATAAAAATATATATATATATTTACAGCGGTAGAATGTGTTCTATTTTGATGTTTAGCTCTATCAGATGCGTTGGTAAAGGCTTTGACACAACCTTCCACTTCGCAATGATATGGTTTTTCTCCGGTATGCGATCTAATATGGGTTTTCAAGTTTTCGAGTCGTGAATATGCCTTAGAACAATTTGGAAACTTTTTTTTTTTAAAAATAACAATTGTATAGAAATGTATGGGTGATTTTCTTTCGAAAAATAATAATATAAGCTTTATTTTTGTTCCAATTTCTAGTTTTCAATACTCAAATATATTCAAGTTTAATACATTTCAAGAGCCCCCTTCTTTTTCTTTTTGTAAAAACATATGCGTGGCTTATAATTTTTTTAGAGCAAGAAAAGAAAAATAAATTAGCCCCTTATGAGCTGAGTGCCATGAAGTCTCTATAGATATTTATTATATAATAATAATCTTACATATTATTTTAGTTAAAAAAATTTTTCTATTAAGAAGCTGTATCAATAAATAATATGGAAAAAAAACGATCTTGTAATAAGTAAATAATGGCCATTCCAGGTTTGGCTAAAAAAATTTTTACCTAGAATATTGGGTTAGCCATTTTAAAATCGAGCCGTTTAACAAAAATCCAACCGTAAACAATAAGAAGTTCGAAAAAAAATTTTTAAACCAGAACAATTTCTATAAAGAAGTATATAATTTTTATCACATCAACTCATCAAACATTGACCAAAAAGACTTATGATATGCAAGATGCAACACCCGAAAAAAAATTTGGGGCCGGAAAAAATGTCAAGATGTCTGTTGTAAACGGCTCGATTTTTTAAAACGGCTAACCAAATATTTTAGCCAACAAAAAAAATACACAAACCTCTAGATTTTGTTAATAGATGCCCAAATCTTTCTGCCATCTTTGAGCATCTCCAGGCTTGCCTAGTATTTTTTTCATCTAAAATATTGGGTTAGCTCTTTTAAAAAATCGAGCCTTTTAACAACATTAGCCCTGTCCGCTTTGTTAAAATAATATTTTCTTCTATTGGCTTATAATTTTAATGATGACATTGGCGGCAGAAATAGGACATATTTTGTAAAGTAATTAGACTTATTGATGAATTCTGATATTCGATAGAAGCCATAATCCATAAAGTATCTGGTTAATTGTTTATTTTGGTGATTTCTACTACTGCAAATATTTCTGGTTAGGTCTTACATTTACAAAAAGCGATTTAAAAATCGGGTCGGGCAACTGTAGTAAAAAAATTGAAACCGGGACGGACAAAAATCTATGGACTTCAAAGATTCTTTGCTCAAAATTTTTGGAAAAGATTTTTTTTTCAAAACTCTGTTTAAAACTTAGCTTCATATTTCAGGTGATTTGTAAAAAGTAATAAACGAAAATTAATTACTTTGATGATTTGACCTTAATTTCAATTAGAAACTTTAAAACTACTGTGAAAAAAAAACATGATTTTTGGGGGTTTTTTTTCATTCCCATTTTATCCATTTTCAAAGAAAAGTAAATTACCGAACATTTATGGGGCTTTTCGCCAGTGTGTTTCCTCATATGCACGATTAACATGTATTGAGCTTTGAAAGGTTTTCTACCCCTCTCGCAATCTAGCCAAAGGCACACAAAATTCTTGTTTTTGTTCATCCTGATGTGGTATTCGTTTATGTGCTATATATATATTTTTTTTAAATAATTTATTATGGTATTAGCTTATTTATATTCAGAGTTAGGGGAACATAGACTAAAAATGGTTCAATTTCATGTTCCGTTTCCGATTTCTAGAGATTTATCCCGGTTCCAAGAGTTCAGGTGCTATTAAAAACTCTTGCTAATAATACATAATTCAAAATTTCAATTTTTGATTAATCCCTTAACAATAATTTTACAAGAATTAAATCGAAAGCCCTATATGTATAAATAAGTTTTTATTTTAAATAAACAAAATCAAACACTTATTTGTAGCTATTCAAATTAAAACATTTAATTTCCGTTAAGATATTAGACATAGGTCTATGCGAAACCGGAGAGGTTCAAAATACATTTTTTTAAACAATTGTATAGAGTCGGGCATCGGGCCTGTTTTATAGAATCTCCACCTTATAACAGTGAACATGATACTAAGAAAAAAATGGTCGTCAAATGGTCACCTACGGGTACCTTGGATATCTTATATGTTTTTAAACGACATTTATTACGTGAACGAAATGGTCCAATCTGAAGAAAATGGTTTCGCAACGTTCCCAGCAGCATTTTCTTTCGGCGAAATCATTCTCGTCTGGATATTTTATAGTAAGGGGGCATTCTTTTGTCAATTCCTTTTTGATAGATTTTGTGGTATCTATTGCTACTTTAGCTCTCTTGCCACCACCATTCGAACTATCGATATTTAGTTTGGTCTCCATCTTTTCCTTTTTTTTACTTCTCAATTTTCCCAATAAATCCCGTTTAAAGGTAAAGAATTTATTTCTAGAAGGATCCTTTGAAGAAGTTATCACGTTTTCTTGTTCGGTTTGTTTAGGTAACGGTGAAACATCCACTGGATTATGTGGATTGAAAGATTTATCGATTTCTATATTAGTCTGGGTGCCAAATATCATAAATAATTTTAAGTCTATCTACTATTGCAAAATTTGTCATTTTTAAAGTAATATTTATAAAAAGAAATACTAAGGCCATGTTCTGATTTGTCTTATTTCTAAAAAAAGGCTGTTCACCGTCTATATTTCCTGTAAAGTGCCTTTAAAAAAAATGGCTATTTAACCAAAATAATTGTATAATGTATACACTTTAAAACAAATAACCATAAATAGAATGTCCCAAGTTCAAAATCCGTTTAGCCTAAGTTTTAAAATATGACGAATCAAGGATATACGGCCTTATAAATTTAAAATGAATTATTTACCAAAGAATTTTTGAAAGAACGAGGCTGTATAGATGTCGTTTGAGGGATTGAATTTTCATCTAAAAATTAAGTATAATATAATAAAGTTATAGAAGGTTTAAAAAATTTTTTTATTTAAAATCGTCTGTTGAGAGTTTTTTGAAGTGGACTCAAGAATATAACACATGATTTAGGCCTCATTTATAGTAAACGCGTAAGCGATGCAATATTAAACCCTGCGTTATTTACAAAATCGAGCAAATAAATAGGTATAATTTATAAATATGGAGAGATACGATGAAGACGTTAAAAAAAAATTTGAAAAACGCGACTTATATTTCAAAAATTATTATCACTGTGGAGAATCAGCTGTGATTTAGATTAAATACCGCACCGCTTGAACAAAACGCGTTTACCATAAAAGAGGTGTTATTAATAAAATTAACTTTCACTTTCCATTCCCCGAGTCCTTGCGATGTCCTCGTCGATTTTTATCACGTGATCGTTTAGCATATTATTTTCGGCTCCGTAGTCACCACAACAAACTTCACGCTTTTGGTGGAAATTTGCCGGAATGAATCCCAAAGGATAATTATTATTATGATTTAAATAATTACGATGTTGTTGTTGCATCAAATGCATTGCACCGGTATCGGAATAGTTATTGATGTCGAGTGGCAAAGACCCGAAGGATCGGAAGGAGGAGAATGAATCGAAAGATGAAAATCTTCCGTTCCCTCCGGCGTAGAGTCTAAGCAGGGATGAAGAACGGCTCTTGCGCTGGCAAAACCAGTCTTCTATAGAGAGTCTCCATGAATCCTGTGAGCTGTCCCTAGAGTCGTGGTTTTTAACGTCACTTATGTTTAAAAATGGAGGGGGATGTACTAAAAACGGATTATGCTGAATGTGACTGGGGGGAGTATTTATGATTTGATTATTGGGATCAAAATGGTTATTATTATCACGATAATGGTTTAAAGGCGGAGGCGATGGCTGAAAATAATACCAATAAGGGTTTTGGTGTGGGGGAATCAAATGTCTCGGATCCATTGTCGGCGGATAATTTCTTACGTGATGATTGGGTGCTACGTAATTTGGATAAATAGATGTGGGAACTGACGAGATGTTTTCTTGAGATTTTATTTCAGGATTGTAGAGATCTTTCGATATAGCTATAACTTGAGGGTATAACGAGGTTGGTTCTTGCGTGCATTTCAACGTACTACCTTTATCGGTAGCTGTAGGAAGAAGCGATGATATGGAATAATCGGAAAACGAGGAAGAAAGGGCCCTTTTAAGGCCAGACGTTTTGTCAAAAGGTTTGTGTGGCAATGCTTCGGTCGGAATTGCTAGGCTATCTGTCATCAAAATAGTGTTTTTAGCGCCATAATATAAGGGATTATTGGAGGTATATGGGAAATGTTGTTCCATGGGGAATGAGAGCGAAGTAGGACCACCATAATGGGAAGAAAAATGATCTATTTCTTTAGCATCCTGAGTCGTTTCATGTGTAGGCTGGATATCGTGTTTATAGATGTCTATGATTAAATATTAATCATTAAAATAGAATTACCTTGCAATATATTAAATTATTATTTATGCTAATCAAACAATGTTAACAAACCATAGTATTAAAACACATTCCTAACATATGAAATATTTATCGAGTAAGAATGTTTTGACGTTTACCCTAGGTGGTATATTACCAAGGGGAGGGAGGAGCAAAGTGGCAAAATTAATAAAATGACCAACAAAAAAATATTTTTCACATTAACCTATTTAGCATTCAAATAAAGATCCTTGAATTAAGATAATTTGTCATGAAGTCAAATTTCTTTTATATATTATTAGGCTATTTTTAGATTAGATAATTAATATTTACATAATATATGTTAGGGGCAATGTGTTTTTTCGGGCAGTATTTTATTTTTCAACTTTAAAGCATTTTTTGAGGGTTTTTTTTAATTTAAAAGGTCTAATTTTATCGGAAATGTATTGCATCATTTTTGTTATCCTACCTTAAGAATTTCAAACAATTTTGCCATGAACTTTTGAGCTTCGTTTTTTCAATTTCCTAAATAAAATTATAAAAGATTAAAATGTAAACGGTTAATTTGCATATAATTCATAAGATAGGTATTCTAAGTAAGCATGCTGGAATACATTTCCGGTAAAATCAGATTTTTAAATTTAAAATAAAAACGCGCTCCAAAAAATTTTAATTTGAAAAAATAACATTGCCGAAAAAAAACAGAATGCAGCTAACATATATATAAATACAAACCAAATTATCAAAATATTTCTATTTAGTTAAATTTTAAAACGTATTAAAAATTTGGGGTTTCGAAAATCGTATCAGCTAATTTTTAGGACGAATAATTTTAAAATTCTTAATTAAATACTCAATTTTTTTTATGAATTTTTTTATAGCACCCTAAAAGTTAAATCGATCTGTGTTATAGCGTGTTCATAGCATTTGATCCCTCCCTATCTGAGGCAAGCCAGTACAAGCTAAGAGTTAAAAAGATGGTGTAGTTGGCCAGCACGGTTCCACGTCTTTATAGAGAAACCATTATAGAGAATGTATTTTATAGAGAAACATTTATAGAGAAAACAATTATAGAGAATGCATTTATAGAGAATTGTTTTATAGAGAATGTTTTATAGAGAATGTTTTATATAGAGAATAATTTTTATAGAGAATTAATTTATAGAGAATGATTTTATAGAGAATGCCGTTTATAGAGAATGGTTTTATAGAGAATGCCGTTTATAGAGAATGGTTTTATAGAGAATGTAATTTATAGAGAATGATTTTAAAGAGAATTATTTTATAGAGAATGTCCTTTATAGAGAATGACTTCAAAGAGAATGATTTTATAGAGAATGTTGTTTATAGAGAATTATTTTGTGGAAAGTTATATTGTAGAAAATTACATTGTAGAGAATTATTTTGTAGAGAATTATTTGTAGATCTTCATTTTATAGAGAAATATTATATATGGGACAATTATAGAGTTCAAAAACTTTATGCGGGATTTGAAAAAAACACCCCCCCCCCCCCTTTCAACAGAAAAGTTTGAAAAAATAATTAGTCGTAATGATACGAAGAAATTTAAATATTAATGATAAATATACTTGCTTATAACCAGATCTATCTACCAATAATAAAAGGACACTTAACCATTCAAACAATGTTAAACAGGACCTTTTACCACAGGGTAAGGGGTTATAATTCAAGTTAGACATTGAAATTAAAAGGGGTAGTTTGTATTTGGAATTCCGTTTTGTTTAACAAGTGCAAAAAACCTATAAAAAACATTTTAAACTTTTTAGATTCATCTTTCTCTAAACTGATAAGGAGTTTACGGCTTGTAATAAGAAATTTTCATTTTACTAAAATCAATTTAGAGAAAAAGGTGTATTATTTTAAATTTTGTCGATGTATAATTTTTAGGTAAGAGTTTGAACTATCATTTTGTATTTTGTAAATTCAGATACAATTATTTTCGGACCTATGACGATTTTGACAGAAATTGATCCAACCACCCCCTGGTCTTCCCTGCCTACCCTGTGAATATTAGACAGTACTCTAATGATCTTTTAACTAAACCTTAATTTTGGTAAGGCGATAGTTTAATGGGTAATGTTTTATTTTTTGTTATTATTTGCATTTAAAATCATTAATTGAGTGCGTTTTATTAAATTTAAAAATCTGATTTTGCCAGAAATGCACCTGAATAAGTGTAGAATACCCACCCTTAATGTTGCGCAATCGGTTAATTTTAGGCAATTCCAAAACGGTTAGCCAAGTTTTTAGATTAAAAAATCGGCTAAGCATAATTAGGCTTAGCATAAAAATAGCGAAAACGAATAGTCAAAAATTAGGCATCGGCTAAGGAGCTCCGTTAATCACTCGTCATATATCGTTACATAATAAATTTATAAAATAATTTTAATAAAGGCTAGGCTTAGTGTTGCATAACGCTGACGGGCGATTAGCCTAGCTCCCAGTCCCTACATTTTGTCTAATTAGTTTTAGGCGATTTTTCGGTTAACCCAAATTAGGTTTAGCTGATTTTTAGGCTACTAACATTACTTATAAATTTCAGATTAATGTAAAGTAAAATTTCTTCAGAAGTTCAATATAAAATCTTCTGAAATTTATAGGGTGGGTATTCTACACATATTGGAATGCATTTTCGGCAAAATCAGATTTAAAATTTAATAAAACGCGCTCAATTTATGATTTAAAATGCAAAAAATAGAACAAGAATACCCATCAAACTATCGCCCTTACCTTAATTTTTACTAAATTATATAGATTTTCATTATAAATTATTAAATACAAAAAATTTTGGCATAATCGTATGAAATTCCCAGGGTAGATTCTCTTCGGAATAGATTTGGTAAAATCAGATTTATCAGGGAAATTAGAAACGCGCACTATAAATCAGAGACCTACAGGCCCTTTGAATCCGGCCCGGATACACGGACTGGGCTGTATTTTAATTTTTTTAAATATACCCGGGCCGAGTCTAAAATTTTATTTTTTTAAATACACGGGCCGGGTCAAAAAAGCTTTTTTTTTAAAAACCCGGGCCAGGCCATATATTTTAAAACCAAATATTTTAAATCACCATTATTATCTAGGCAAAAATATATAATATATTTTTAAAAAATCGGGGCCGGGCCATGCAGATTAAAATAATGCACAAAGCAACTAAATATTGACAAAATTTTCTAAAAAAATTGGCGTAAGGCTGGCTTTGTTGCTAATAGTTTTTTTTTTAAATTGCTACTCTACTAGTTAAAGCAAAGCACTAATAGAAACTAATGCATATATACATTGTATATAAATATAAATTTAATTATATAATTTAAATATATAATTTAAACATTTAAATTAATATTGTGAGACAATGCCCTTAGGTAATCTAACATGGGCCTTGAATAGTAATCTTCGACTATTCTATACACCCGTTGAGCTCTTTCTATTAAAAATATATTTAAGGATAATTATTTGGAAAATCTACTCAATAAGAGGCTAAGGATATTTAATCTGGAAAATCTACTCGAGGAGACATGGATAGGCAAAATGATAGCAATGGAGAGGAGATCCCCATTGTTTAGTATTTCATTATGGAATTGCTATGATTCCACTCTGATGCGAGCTCCAAATACCAACAATGCAGTAGAAGGTTGGCACCGGAGTTTTTCTTCCCATATAAGTTCCCATCATCCAACCATTTGGAAATTTATCAAAAGTATGAAATATATATTATATTAAAATATTTTAAAAATCTTATTTAATTTTTAGCTCTCAAAGATGAAGATAGCCTTAATTGCTATAAATTAGAGCAATATTCTTTGGGACTATTGGCTCCACTCTCAAAGAAACAATATCGGGAAAGAGCTCAACGGGTATATAGAATAGTCGAAGATTACTATTCAAGGCCCATGTTAGATTACCTAAGGGCATTGTCTCACAATATTAATTTAAATGTTTAAATTATATTTTTAAATTATATAATTAAATTTATATTTATATACAATGTATTTATGCATTTGTTATGAATAAAAATTATATATTTTGGATTATGGAACAATTTTGAATTAATTTTATTTGATCGAAAAAATTTGAAAATTTGAATAAAGAATTTATGCAATAAAATGTTAAGTTATTAAGATTATTACTAACTTAGTAATTATTTATTTTTGTGAATAACTTAATTTTTCCAACTTATCTTATTGCTTTCCAAGTGATGGTGTAGGACATTGCTTTTTTGGAAATTTTTCTTAAGCCTACTTTGATGTTTTCCTTTTCTAAATGTATTTGATATTTCGCATCAAATATATATAATAATAAAATATTCTTCATTGTAATTAAAAAAAATCTCAAAGCCTCTTATTGAGTAGATTTTCCAGATTAAATACCCTTAGCCTCTTATTGAGTATATTTTCCAGATTAAATATCCTTAGCCTCTTATTGAGTAGATTTTCCAAATAAATATCCTTAAATATATTTTTAATAAATTATATTAGATTAAATCTGATTTAATAAGTGCCAAAAAAAAAAGAATTAGACGGTAAATGGTCATATTTGAGAAAATTTATTTCTTAAAATAATTCATTTTCTATAAAATCATTCTCTGTAAAATTCTTCAATATAAAATTATTAATCCTTCCCTATAAAATAATTCGCACTAAAACAATTCTCTGTAAAACAATTCTCTGAAAAAATATTCTCTATAAAATCATTCTCTATAAAAGAGATTCTCTATAAAATCATTCTCTGTAAATGGATTCTCTATAATTGTTTTCTCTTTAAAAGTTTCTCTATAAAATAAATTATCTATAAAATCATTCTCTATAAACGAGATTCTGTACAAAATCATTCTCTATAAACGAGATTCTCAACAAAATCATTCTCTATAAATGAAATTCTTTATAAACGACATTCTCCATAATTGTTTTCTCTTTAAAAGTTTCTCTACAAAATAAATTCTCTATAAAATCATTCTCTATAAACGATATTCTTTATAAACGACATTCTCTACAATTGTTTTCTCTATATTTGCATTCTCTATAAAAGATTCTCTGGTAAAGACGGGATACCGGCCAGCACGGATATAAGGGTAGGGTTGATATATATATATCAAATAAAAGGTGGCCTCTGTTTAGTTAATTAAGCTACGTTATATAATATGGACAAAAGCTAAAATTTCTACCCTTTTTAAAAAAATTATTGTTAAATTTTTATTCTGAGCCTTTATTAGTGTTGTTAAATGACTCTTTTTGAGACGATTTTTAAAAGGCTAACTCAATATTTCATCAAGAAAAAATAATGCAAAACTGCGAATTCATATATAAAAACCAGCGAATTCATATATACAGTGTTGTTGATGATTTAATGTAACATATTGACGATTAAATTTAAACCCATTCATATAAAATGTTAATATTTGCAAAAATAATTAAAATATAGAAAAAGAAGCATTATTGAAATTTCTTTTATTATTGTTTTGTTGTACATTTGTAAAGATTATAATTATATATGCATGTGTTTAAATTAAATCGTCAATATGTTACATTTAATCATCACAACACTGTAAAAACCAGCGAATTCATATATAAAAAGCTGTGAATTAATAAATAAAAAACTGCGAATTCATATATAAAAACCAGCGAATTCATATATAAAAAATTGTGAATTCATTTTAAAAAAACTGCGAATTCATATATAAAAAACTGCGAATTCATATATAAAAACCAGGGAATTCATATATAAAAAAGTGTGAATTCATATATAAAAACCAGGGATTTCATATATAAAAACCAGGGAATTTAAATATAAAAAATATAAATTCAGTTTTTTATATATGAATTCATTATTATATATATAAATTCAGTTTTTTATATATGAATTCAGTTTTTCATCAGTTTTTATATATAAATTCTTTTTATATATGAATTAAGTTTTTTATATATAAATTCAGTTTTTTATATATGAATTCATTATTTTATATATGAATTCAGTTTTTTATATATGAATTCAGTTTTTTATATAAGAATTCAGTTTTTTATATATGAATTCAGTTTTTTGTATATGAATTCAGTCTTTTATATATGAATTCAGTTTTTTATATATAAATTCAGTTTTTTATATATGAATTCAGTTTTTTATATATGAATTCAGTTTTTTATATAAGAATTCAGTTTTTTATATATAAATTCAGTTTTTTGTATATGAATTCAGTTTTTTGTAAATGAATTCAGTTTTTTATATATGAATTCAGTTTTTAATATAAGAATTCAGTTTTTTATATATGAATTCAGTTTTTGATATATATATATTCAGTTTTTTTATATATGAATTCAGTTTTTGATATATATATATTCAGTTTTTTTATATATGAATTCAGTTTTTTATATATGAATTCAGTTTTTTATATATGAATTCAGTTTTTTATATATGAATTCAGTTTTTTATAAATGAATTCATTATTTTATATATAAATTCAGTTTTTTATATATGAATTCAGTTTTTTATATATTAATTCAATTTTTTTATATATGAATTCAGTTTTTATATAAGAATTCAGTTTTTTATATATAAATTCAGCCTTTTATATATGAATTCAGTTTTTTATATATGAATTCAATTTTTTTATATATGAATTCAGTTTTTAATATATAAAATCATTTTTTATATATGAATTCATTATTTTATATAGTTTTTTATATATGAATTCAGTTTTTTATATATGAATTCAGTTTTTTATATAAGAATTCAGTTTTTTATATATAAATTCAGTTTTTTATATATGAATTCATTATTTTATATATAAATTCAGTTTTTTATATATGAATTCAGTTATTTTATATATGAATTCAGTTTTTTATATGAATTCAATTTTTTTATATATGAATTCAGTTTTTTATATATGAATTCAGTTTTTTATATATGAATTCAGTTTTTTTATATATGAATTCAGTTTTTTATATATGAATTCAGTTTTTTATATATGAATTCAGTTTATATATAAATTTAGTTTTTATATATGAATTCAGTTTTTTATATATGAATTCAGTTTTTTATATATGAATTTAGTTTTTTATATATGAATTCAGTTTTTTATATATGAATTCAGTTTTTTATTTATGAATTCAGTTTTTTATTTTGTACCATATTCGTTTATAAGTGATGTGTTTTTTTTATATTACCATTTATATTTTTCTTTGTTTGTACGATATTCGCTTATATCGAGCCTGTTTTGATTTTATCCTCATAACTGGTTCTAGCCAGTTTTCGAGATTGCGAGCACATGTAATATTTTATTATGGTTGTTGATTGTAAAAGGGGTACTATATAAAGTCCCCCCTAAAATGAATTAATGGCATTAAAAAATTCTACGTCGTAAATTCTTTTTCTTTGACATATGCGTGTTACGGTAAATTCCCGTTTGATTGTTGACACGATAAACCTCCAGCCAAATCCAGTCCCCTCTATCGACCATCCCGGACCCACTCCGTTAATATCTTCCCCTCCCCGATGGTTCATATATAAAAAACTGTGAATTCATATAAAAAACTGCGAATTCATATAAAAAACTGCGAATTCATATAAAAAACTGCGAATTCATATAAAAACTGCGAATTCATTTATATATAACTTCGAATTCATATATAAAACCAGGTAATTAAAATTTGAATAAAGGAGGGAAAATGTTTTTGTCAAAAATACCAAAGGAAAAAAAGGCACTTGATAAAAATACCCGCAAATTTTAAAAAATTTCTAAAATTAGGGTATTTTTTTATGGAGTACATAATATTTCTGTCCTAGATTCTGAAAATTTAGATCCGCGTTGGCTTTTCTCTAATGATTTATATATATTTTAAAAAAATCCTAAATATTGAAATTATAAATGGCAGTAACAAATAATTATACCAATTTTAAGCGAGATACATGGGCTACTGCGTAAATGTTTTTTTGATATGTCAATAAACTTCTATATTACCTCCTCTCTCATATCAAATCAAAATTAGCAAAAAAATCAAATTTCAATCTCAATCTTGTGTCATGCCCTCTCCCCCCGAGTAAAAATTCTTAGTTATGTCACCAGTACAGAAGGATATTCCGATTTTTTCACAATGTGGCAGGAAGGGGTTGTCCTTCTGGTAAGTTTTACATGGGATTTGGACTCATATATAGGGTTTTAAAGTTCAGAGTCAGAATCTTAATTTCCTATCTCCTTCCCTGGCTATGCTTATGCTGTTTCGATCATCCTCTACTAATTTATTTATACTTAATCAAAATAATAATCAATAACCTGACTCCACCATCTTTTGGAAATCTAAAACGTTCCGGTTCCTAAAATCTTTGAGGGGAAATTGATTTTTTCGCGATTTTCTAGAGTATTTCTGGAAAGCATTGTCATTTACACAATGACCATGATGAAGATTATTGTTGATACTCTGCCCAGTATTTAGATATTTAGGATTAGGATCAGGATGGCAATAAAACATAGCTTGGGGGTGATTGTAAGGCGAATACGATTGATAATAAGGATAAAATGGAGCCATTCTACCATAGATATCGTTTTGAGGTGATCCCAACATTCTATATTTATAAATATATATTTTGAATCAAGATTCGTAAATTAAAATGCATCATTTTCCATAAGTAACTTTTATACTTTTGCAAATTTTTATTAAAATAGAATTATAAATTATGAAGATTTTTTTGTTCACTTTTCAAGATTTTCTTTTTTTGCTCTAAACATACAAAAATAAATTATTTTGAACATTCAAAAAAAAAACCATTGTTTTAAAAAATGAAATAATACAATAATTAATGATATAATAAAATAAAATAAAATAAAAAGAGTTGGAGAGTTAAGAAACATAAATAAGCAACTTAAAATATCGAAATAGGATTGTTAGTGTAAAAAAAATGTAATGATTAATTTATTTTTATTTTATAAAATACAGGCCAAAATTATTTATACATTCTTTTTTTCTCGAGCTGATTTCAATGTCCTAAATAAATATTCTAGCCAGAAAAATATTACCTAAACCTCGAAATTTTCAAAGTAGATGTCCAAACCTTTGTGCCATGCCATATATGAGCAAAATCTTCAGGTTTGCTTAATATTTTTCTGGATAAAATAGTGAGTTGGGCGTCCTTAAAAATCGGCTCAAATCGAGCCATTTAACAACAATTTTTATCGATTTAAATCTAAGTGTATATAATAGTCTGCCAACTATCCTTCCGAGCTCGATACACTAAGACCCCGATAGTCTGGCAAGAATATCAAAATTTGCAAGCACCCCAGGGGATCTCAACGTCATTCATAAGCTCAAGGGGAGATAAAGGGTACTATTTAGAGCATGTCCGTTTCGGATTTTATGGTAACTAAAAAAATCTTCAATGAAAGATTTTTTTAAAAGTATAAAGAAATGTGGTAAAAATCAAATATTTAGTTTTGTTGATTTATTTAATTGAACAATCATTAAATAAGTGGGATTGATAAGGAAGTTAAGTTAAAGCTAGTTTTACCCAAACGTAATTGTAATATATAATTTTTAATTTATATCCTCTGCATTAGAATCGAGTCTATAAAACAAATGGTTTTTATTATTTTATCTGCAATAAACGTCGATCGTCTGACAATATTCTAACTTAATCTAAATGCAGACGATCATTTAAAAAGGGAGATGGGATTAGGTCCTAACTGACCTGGGGCTGACTCGATACCAAACAAAGAATTTATATTAAATAAATTATATAAAATTAACTTCTTTTTTTCATTATACAATAAACTAACCCATTTATAGGAGGCGAATCCACCATAAAATTAGGAATATTGCGATAACAATTGCCAGAATCGGGGTTAAAGTTGTGGTAATTAGGAGAATAAAATTCCTTAGATCCTCGAGGAAAATGGTTATGATGGCCCATAACTGAATAATATAAATCGTTCATCATAACACTCTATACATATAGATATTATTATTTACAAATTAAAAGCGTCGCACAGAAATAATTTTTTTTTTAAATATATCACTTAGTTGTCATGTTGTCCAACAACCATACGTTTATCATTTTATTTATATTAGAGCATAGCGACCTTTTGGGAAAGTATAAAAATAATTGGGCTGAAAAGAAAAATAAATGTCGGGTTATTTTTAACTATTATGAAAGAAAAAAGTATTTTATTTTTAACTAAAAATGTTAGCTCGTTAGACATGTTAAAAATTTAAGAATATATTATAATAAAATTAATAAATATTTATATTTTTAAGCAAAACTTAACGAGTATATTAAAATGAATTAAATAGGATACTCCTTCGCCTTCCTCTAGGGATAAAGTTTTATTTTATTATATTTTTTTTAAAAAAAAACATCTTTATTATAAATTTTAAAAATAATATAATAATAATAATAAAAAAAAATTAAATTTTGTCTGTAAATTTTTGTTATTTTTAAAATTAGCCTAAAATTCTCGGAAAAAAAAGAAATTTATAAAACTTATGTCTCACTCACTCAAAAGCTCAAAACTCAACACTAGGAATATAATTTTAAAAAAAATATTTATAATTTAATTTTCAAATACTTCATCCACTTAAGTCAACATTTGTTTATTTCTTTCCTTTTTTTAAAATCTTTTTCTATTCTTTTTCTGTGTTCTTTTCTTTTTCTGTGTTCTTTTCTTTAATCATTTTTTTTTGTAATCGAATTATGCGAAAAAAAAATTTATTTTGCCCTTAAAGTATATAAATATTTTTATTTTAAATTAGAAAACAGGAATTTTATAGAATAATTTTTATTTATCATTAATTCAAAATAAATTTTTTACAACCCTTGACAAACAAAATCCTTTTTTTTTGTGAGACTTTTTTGTTCCATAAAATAAATTTAAAGATAAAATTTTTAGTCAAAAGAAAAGGATTATATTTTTAAAGAATTTTTCCCTTTTATGCATTCCACATTATATTTGCGTTTTTTTTTTGAGAAATATTGACCCAAAACTGTTCTAAAACTAAAAATTTTTGAGCAAAAAATCTTATGAAAAATTGGGAATTTTATGTAAATTTTATTTAGATGAAATTTGATTAAAAATTAATTTTGAGAATTCTTAAAAAATATTAAATCTTTGAAATTTTACCAGGAAAAATAACGTTTAAAATCTCTGAAAATTTAAGAAAAAAAATGTTTCTACCACATTTTTTAATCTTCCATTTAAAAAAAAAGTTTATCGCGTGTTTTTCAATAAAGTTATAAAAGTTTTGGAATTATTTTATGTTTTGGACGTAAATTTAAAAAATTTTTTTTAAACTCTTTGATGATTGGATTGAATTTAAAATTTAACCAAAAAAGTAAAGACAAAAGATGGAAAACAATAATAAATGAAGAATGAACGAAAAAAATGGATTTAGTAAAAAAAATAAAAATATTTATATCTTCAAATAATTATTATTTTATACAGATGATTTTAATATTTATGATCTTAATTTTTTTAAAAAAATATTAATATTAAAATATAAATTATATAAATCAAAAATAGCTTTAGATTAAATGATAAAGATAAAAAAAAATTGTAATCATTCCTTTTATAAATTATAAATATAATGTACTATGCAAGAGATTAAATAATTTTATATCTTTCAAGAGTTCAGTTTTAGCTTCAGTTTTGAAATTTTGAAACATTAAAAGAAAAATAATCTTGTAAAAGAAGCAATTAGCAACATAAAAGTTCTATATTATCAGATATAATATTTTATTTTATAATTAAATTAGATGAATTAAATATTGTATTATATAATATATATTTGAATTAGGTCTTAAACTGAACATATTCTATATAATACCTTCCCTTACACCTCTTTCTACCAATTTATGAAACATTTTTTATATACTTTTTTATATCAAATTATCAATTTGAGACTTTTAGTCACTCTCAATCTCAACCACATTCTCTAAACAAAATATATAATTTTTCCTTATGTAAAAGATATTAAATATTTTTGTTATTCTTGAGGAGACATGGATTCTTTTTCAATAATTACTATTTTTAAATTTATTATCAATCAAATAAGATAAGCTAATAGCCATTTTGACTAAGGATTCTCATTTTCATTGGTTATTATTTGTTTGTTCTAGTCTTTCCATATTATGTTTTATTATATAAGTTCGGTATTTGCAATTAGTTATATAATTTCACTTAACATTACACTTTTTTTTAAGTTTTTTTTAAAGAAAATTTTGGGGCTAATTTAAAAGTTTTTCTCTAAAAATGGAACGATTACTCTCAACTAAATTTAGGCGCTTCGAGTTTTGCACCATACAAAAAAATATATAAAATTTTAAATAAGCAAAAAAAATTTAACTTTATTGAGTGGCCCAGGTCATTAATTTTATCGAGATTTAATTTATTTGATTTTTAGCAAAACTTAACAAATTTACCACTTAATAATTATTACAAAACTTGTTTAAAATTTTTAATTATAATAAAATATGGTTTTTATCAATAAATTATTAAAAGAAATCAAATCACATACACATTTATTATTTAAAGAAATCAAATCACATACACATTTATTATTTAAAGAAATTGTATATGTAATTATAACAAGAAGTCTACATGGAATATTATATATCTCAGTTGTTGAAAATGGAACTTTAATTTTTTTTAAATTGTCAATTTTAATTGTTCGTCCATGTATATATATGTGGAAAAAACAGTTGTCGCGTAAAGTAAAATATATTAAAAAATGCCTTAAATTACAATTAACTTATGCAAGAAAGCAACACTTAAATTGCAGGCGGCATTTTACAAAATTGTTCGTATCATCGCTTCGCCGAAATTTTATTGTTTTATCTGTTACAATTTGTATAAACAATTATGCTAGAAAAAAAAGATGAACACAAAAAGAAGCATACTTACCCATAAATATTCCCTTTTATTGGAAATTCAAAAAGTTTTTTTAAACAAAATTAACATATGGTCTTATTTTTCATAAAATAAAATAAAAATTAACAAAATTTTTCCGAATAAAAAATAAATATAATGTATTAATTTTTATGAAAAAGAAACGGTTTAACTTTAACGAAAAAAGTGCCATGTGATTTACTTCTTCTTATCTTCTATTTTAAAATATTGGGTAATAAAGTTTAATAAAGGGATAATTTATTAAACATCTCAGAACTTCATAAAAGATGAAAGGTTAGATTAGGGATTTAATTAAATTAGAATTTTTTTAGTTTTTAAATATAAAAACTATATTTTATAGCTTAGTTTTATTTAAATTAATTTTTTTTTAAATATTTTGTTAATGATTTAAAGATAACCAACCATAAAAGAAAAGCTTCCGGAAATTTTATAAATATTCTTTCCCATACTATAGGAATACTTATAAAAGAGATGATAAAAAGAAATAGAGGAAAGCGATTAAACTCTGTATTGCATGTAATATTGCAATACCAAAAAGAAATAGTATAAAGTGGTCAAACCATATGTTTTCTTACGGCTATTATGAATTGGAGAACTTAAATGTCCTAGACAAAAATATCTAATAAAAACACTCAAGGATTAAAAAAACATCGGACAAAAATACCATAATTTTAATAAATATGGTTTTTTTCAAAAAATTATTTATTTTATACTTAGGTTTCAAGCTAAATAAAATATAGAATATTTTAAGCGATAAATTTATGATAATACGATACAAATTGTTCATACATATACTTTAGTGTAGGAGGGTATTGGTTAGACCTGTGCGCCGATGTATCAATCGACGGCGGCGGCATTTTTTAATTTTTTCATCAGCATTCGACGGCGCACTGATTTCGCTGCCGCCTACTAAATTGACGGTGGCGCGATATTTATTTTAAAAAAAATTTTTAATGAATTTAATTTATAAATTAATGTATATTAAATTTTTTTATAATTTATTCGGTAGCTCTTTTCTTCATTTCTTAAATTATTTCCTGTCTCAATTAAATTTATATATCTCATTCTCAAAAGTCGATCCACTTTTATTAAGATCAGAGTCACATAAACAACATATATTAGTAATATTCTATGATTTTTATTATATCAAATTAAAATATAAATTTGGAATGCAAGCAAAATATAAAGTATGAAATATAATAAATCAGAATCAGATTTATCAAAGTTATAATTGTCATGAATAAATAGTATTTTATCAAGATTCGTAAAGAAGTACTTTTTGCAATTAATCCAGTAATGAAAAAAATACTCGCTAAGTGTAGTGGTTACAGATATATACAGTCCTAGCTAAATTAGCAATCCTATGAAGTTCCACTCGCTTTTTCTTCCAAAAGGTTAATGCATTCTCTTCAGGGATATTATGTTGGCTGAGCAAAATATGACATTCTTGTTCTGGATTACTAATGTTATTATAATAGTGGCTTGGAAGGGAATGTTTACGAGCTATTTTATCTATATAAGAACTGGATGTTTGCCCATTATCTTCAACTTAAATCTCACTCTGTGCATTTCTATCATGCTCTAAAAGTTTTAAATGTTTAATTGAGATTGCAATGATGTCGTAGAATTCGAATTTAAATATTCTGAAACAATTTTTAGATTTTGAAATCTGAATTTTCAAAATAAAGCTTAATAAATGTAATTTAATAAACCAGTTATAAATTTAATAAAAACCTAAGAGCCATTTTTATCTTTTATATTGTTGCTACATCTTAGTGTTGGCTTTAAAAACATTTTTAGACTTTTAATGGATTTATTATTATTAATTTTTCTGATATTTTATTAACATTTACTAAGTACCGAGAAAGGTTACTTGTACTTATATTTTTACTAAAAAAATTTATTTCATAACTAAAATAAATTATATATAAATATAAGTCAAATTACTGTGAAAATGGATTATGTTTATCCGAATCTTATTCATCATTGTTTCCCCAATTTTAAGCTAGGTTCACAATAATTATAATCAGGCATTTTTGTGCTTTTCTTATTTCATTCTACAAAATAAGATTTCCAAAGTACCTCTAGACATAACTTGATTTATGATTAGTAGAGGGAGTTG